AAAAGTATATTTCCATTTTCTGTTGACTTTAAAAAAGAGGTTTGTACCTATGTTGTTTATTTATTATTTCTTGCCTATATCTTGTAATATGAGAATCTACTTTGGCAGTAACAATATACAATGTACTAACCATTGTTACTCTCCTAAAATCTTGTTTTGAGATTTTGTACCATTGTTTTTATTTTTTTTTTCTTTAAAATAAAATAACTGATGTCAAAAAATAAAAAATAAAAAAAAATCAGTGGGTTGGTTTTAAGTTTCAATCATCTCCAGATTTCCTGCCTGAATAATATATCAATTCTCAATAGCAGTGCCTATTTTAAGAGTTCTCAAAAATATGTTTCAAAGGAAATCCACAACACTTGGTGTAGGGTGGATGCCTATAACCCTAGCCCTCTGGGAGGCTGAGGTAGGAGGATGAAAAGTTTGAGCCCAGACTAGGCAATTTTGAAACTTAAGACCTGATCTCAAAATGTAAGTAGCAAGTAGGTAGGTAGATAGACAGGGTAGGGATATAGTTCAGTGTGAAGGTCCTGGGTTCAATTCCCAGAGAGGGAATTAAAAATAAGGTAAAGGGACAAAAGGAGGGGTCGATGAGACAGCAGCCAAAGGCTGTAAGCTGCACGTCTCTAAAGTTAAGTGATGGGGAAACAGGTTCATTATGTTTTTCAGTTTAGTTCTATGATTTCAGTTTCCATAATAAAGAGTTCAATCAGAACCAATCAGAACGCAAGTCCAAGGGTGGATTAAAGTGTCTGCTTAGATGCAGGGGCTGGGTGTTCCATCCCTGGGCCGCTGTGTGGGCCCTGCCCCTGGGGCAGGGCTGAGACATGATTGAGACTGGGCGTGGTGGCGTGCCCGTAATCGAAGTGCTTTGGAGGTAGTAAAAAGGAGGATCACTATGAGTGTGATCTACAGTGAGACCCTGTATACTCTGTCCAAAATACAAAAAATAAAAAATGAAAGAACATAAGCCCATAACAAAGTAACACCTGAGAATTAAAACTTCAGGCAGTCTGAAGTAAAAATGAAAGACAGCTTCAGGTGCAAAACCTTTTGTTTCTGTTCATGGAGAACATGAATGTTCCCCAAAGAGGAATGATGCTCTTGGACTATATCCAGTCAGCTTAGATGCTTGTGGTCAGTGTGAGGAAATGAAGCTCAGGTCAAAAAGTGATTCCCGCAGCCATTAAGTTCTAACCGCTGCCTGCCCGGACGATCTCATTTATTTCCACCCAGTCCTCTCAGAAAGATACGTGCACTTAGTTAGCAGGGCTATCAGCAGAGATCACGCAGACCAAGCAGGAGGAAGGCCAGCCTGACTACCAGAAGAGTGGCTCAAGGGCACGTCCCATAGTAGGGTCACCAGTGTGGAGCTGGGTCCTGCCCACAGCCTGGGAAGCGCTTACCTTCTGGAGCCGGATGCCGGGCAATGCTGTCATGAAGCAAACACCTTCTGTAGATCAAGCTCTGGCAGGACTGGTAGGTCAGAAAGCACCTGCAAGAAGACATTATGCTGTCAAGGGAGAGGCTTGCTGGGGCTCTGTCGACACAGGAAAGCAGTGGGGGGAAAGAGTAACTCCAGTACCAAGCATTACTCAGTGCAGTAGCAGCTCCTACCTACCCTTCCACCCAGGACAAACTCACACTGTCCACACTTAGTAGGGAGTGGCTGTGTCATGTTACTAAGTGAAGAGATACCAGCTTCTAACTCAAAAGTCAACACAGCCTCTTTTTTGGGATGGTAGCAAGGGAAAGATTTTGGTCTGTCCCTTGGGCTGGGGAGATAGCTCAGCAGTCTAAATGTCTGCCTGGCAAGCCCAACAATCTGGGTTTGATCCCTGATACTGCATGCTGTGCTAGGCACAGAACTCTGAGTTTCCGTGCCAGCCACTAAAACCAGGCATGGGGGTGCATGCCTGCAATCCCAGCACTGGGGAAGCTGACGCAGGAGGATCACTATGAGTCCGAGCTGCACAGCGAGACTATAACAAACAAATATTTTTTTTTAAAAAAAAGAATTTGACCTGTCCCTACTACCCATTTCAAACTCTTAATACATATTTAAAAAACTGATCCTGGGGGCTGGTGAGATGGCTCAGTGGTCTAAAGCACCTACTTAGAACAAGCTTAGCAAAGCACTGGGACTGTGGTTCAATCCCCCAGCACCACATGCCAGCCAGCCCTGCCCCCTGGCAAATAAAATAAAAAACTGATCCTCTGTTACACTGACCTTCTTGGACAGTGGTGGAGAGACTGAACCTAAGGCCTGGTGCATGGTGGGTGAGCATGCTACCCCTGATCCCCCATCAGGTATTACACTGAAAGTCACTCTGATACTGACAAAAAGATTAAAATTCTCAGCACCTAACATTATTTGAAAACATACTTCAGCTCAGCATGTATTAGATGGTCAAGACTCATTGTACCACTGAGGACTGAAAAACAGCACAAGATAAAAGTCAATACAAAAACCATCCTTTCTTCCCCCGTGTGTAATATCTTTCCCAAACATGTTAAAGCAAACAGATACTCTTATCTAAGTCTAAAGAACCTTTTCTAAGGCCTAATCAAGAGGCCTCGAGAATTAGCAACTTTGATACACAACTTTAGTTATAACACAGGTGTTCCCAAAAGATGAACAAGGAACAGGCCACCCTGGAAAAGTCTGAAGGTATCTCTATCCGCCCACTGTGACTCTTCCCCGCCTTTTCATCACCGTCTCTCACCCTGACAGCACTGTTACTTTTGGGAACTCACCTACTGTTCCTCTTGACAGAGTGCACGATGATCTAGATATATTCTTGCCTTTCCCATGTTCCTTGTCTACTGGCAAATTCTTTTTACCAACTGGGTCACCAGTCTCCATACACTGTCTGGCATGACAATTCTCATAAGTAACCCCAAAGATTACTAAAGAAGTTAATGGTGCAAAAAGAGAAGTGAAACCAATGAATGTCCACAATTCAGTTCGTTTAATGAGTGTCACCAAATGCCCAGCACCAGGACTGGGCAGGTAAGGCAGGTGGGACACAATGAGCCAGGACCCGCAGGTAGACTCCCCTGCTGCAGTTTCCAGCTAAGGGGCTGAAGACACTAAAAGGGGAAGGCTAGGAGAAGGAACTCCAGGCAGTGAAAGTCTTGGGGCCGCTGGTCTCATCTGACACAGCAAACACCGATCCTCAAAGAAATCACTAAGGTATTTTGGGCACTAATTTTAGCCAGCAAAATGGAGGTAAAATTTTGTCAAAAAACCCATTGGGGAGACCTTAGCATGGAGTGGCCACACACGTGGACTATGTAGCCACGATGCCAGGCTCAGAGCTCTGACACAAAGCACTGGTGTGACTTTGGGAAATTGCTTTCTTCTTGCCATGCTGGGGTTTGAACCAAGGACCCCATGCACGCGAGGCAAATAATCTACTGCCGAGCTATATCCCTGGCTCTGGGAAAACTCCTGGAGTCCCTGAGCTTCCAGTTGCATCTGTAAAACACAAGTAATCAGCACCTTCTGTGTGTAGTTACTATTATGAGGACAGACACTAAACGTGTGCGTGTACTACTCAGTGTGTACCTGGCAGGGCAATAGCATTCAACAAATGTTATCTTTATTAAAAACCTAAAATCTAATCTCATTTCCTAGTTTTCTTTCTTAAAACAAGGTTAAACAGTCATATTAGAAAAAGAAAAAAAAAAAAAAAAAAAACAAAAAACTACTCATCAATAAGGAAACAAATTATGGAGCATCCACATGGAAAATTCCAGTCAGTAAGAACAGGATCGGGGCCAGGAAGATAGCTCAGCGGAATAAGCACTTGCCTGGCAAGTGCAAGGACCTGAGTTTAATCCCTGGTTCCACAAACAAAACAAAACAAAAACAACAAAAGAATGGGATCTTTGGGCCAGTGAGATAGCTCAGCAGACTAAAGCACCTGCATTGGCAAGCATAGGCAAGCACAAGGATCATGCATGGTTCGATCTCCAGCACCACATGCCACGCCTGCCCCACCCCCAGTGAGCTGAGCTGGCCACAGTCTAGGCATAGTGGCCCACACCTGCAATCCCAGAGTTGAGGAGGCTGAAAGTAGAACCACAAGTCTGAGCTGCATAGTGAGACTCTGCAACAACCAAATACATTAAAAAATAAAAACAGTAATAAAACAAAAAAAATGGGATCTTTGTACTAATGTTCCATGATATCTTGATAAAAGATAACTGGCTTATGATGATGCATATAGCAATCACGTTTCAGCTGAAAGAAATTTAAAAATTGTACGGAGTACATACCATGCCTCTGACACTATTTTAAAAATAGCTGTGAACAAAACCCAAACGTTCCTATCTTCATGTACTTCCTGTTCTGGAGGAAGGAGAAAAAGAAAAGGCAAAAAAAGTACTAACTGGTAGTAAGTTGAGAAAATAAAGCAAGGGAGAGGGATGCAGAGCATTGGGAGGGGAGATGCCAGCAGGGTGTTACATCAGGTAACTAGACGATATGGGAGAAAGCGGCATCAGAGGAAGCCCTTTAAAGGGCCACCTGCTAGAAGAGCACTCAGGGAGTATCAGCCAGCATGGGCATCCTGCAGTTGGAGGGACCTCAGAACCTGAGGAGCAAGGCCAGCTCCCCTGGAATGCACAAGCAATGCACAAGCAAGGAGGACAAACATGGATGAGGTTAGAGTGAGGGTAAGGAGAGAAGGGACTCCCCCCACATACACACACACTACACAGCCTTGCAGGCCAGGGAGAAGACTAGCTTTCACCCATCAGAAGTGGGTGGCTGGGGCCACGGAGATGGCTCAGTAGGATAAGTGCTTGACTGGCAAACACAAGGATCTGAGTTCAATCCCCGGTTCCGCAAAAAAAAAAAAAAAAAAAAAAAAAAAAAAAAAAGAAGTGGGTAGCTACTGGAGGGCTCCAAGCAGAGGGGTACAGGAGCTGACAAAGTCTAGATAGGATCACAGTCACAAGTACAATGGGAATGAACTAGAGGGAAGAATGGAGGAGGCTGAACAGTAAGACAGTCATCAGGGTAAGGCCAAAGAGTTGGAAGTGGGGAAAGGGCTAGATTAAGTGCGGAGGGCCTGGGAGCAGCCAGAAACAGCAGCAAGTAGTTAAGACATGCAGGACTACAGGGAGACATAGGCTCATGAGCGATGCCATGTGGCCATCGGGGAGAAACTGGTGCAGTCCAAGCATGCCACCAAAAAGGCAGGGTCAGCAGGGAATGAAGGGTTCAGCAGGAAGACCAGGAGCACCACATTCTGGGGGGCAAGTGACCAAGTGCCTCAGGGAGGAACCACTCACAAGTCTGGTAAAGTGAGGACACACCAAGGTTACCTCTAAGGTGAGACTAAGGGGATAAGGGGAATGGGACGAAACCTCTTATGATGAAACTCAATGTACAAGGAAATGAGTAAGTATACACACAAGCCTACTAACTACAACAGATACAATTTTTGTACTAATATAAAAATTTGCTTCAAAGGAAAACAATGTAACCAAAGTAAACACAACCACCGTGGTACATGACCTTAAATCTATCCTTAAAGGTTGTCTTGCTCTAGCCAGAGTGATAAAGAAAAGCCATGAGGCTTCAAGGCAGCAGCTTTTCTCTAATGTACAGCATAGGTGACACATCACCGGGACACGCACTCCGCAGCATGTGCACTCCCTGGAGCTGATGCGCGAGCAAGGGCAGGAGGTTCAGGATGGCTTACCGGAGCCAAATGTGCCCGTTGGAGCAGACAGCCTGCTTGCGATCTGTGAATGGCAAAATCTCCTTACACAAGCTACAGTGCTCGGGGAAAGTCTGCTTGTTCATCTTCTTGGAGATATGCCCAATCAGCACCTGGTGAGACACAGAAGTCAGCAAGGTGAGGCGGCCCAGGGCTTCTCAAAGCAAAGCCTCCCACGAGGACAAGACAGAAACCAAGCAGGGCTGGACAGGGGCAGAAGACACGCATTTACTTCCACATGGCCCAGCTTGCTACAAACCCATAGCCTACGTGGATGAGCTGAACGTTACAAATGCATTCAGGGGGCTGGGGAGATAGCTCAGTGGGCTAAGTGCTTGCTTGGCAAGTTCAAGGTCATGAGTTCAATCCCCAGTACCGCCAAAAAAAAAAAAAAAAAGCAAGCATTCAGGGACCAGGGGTAGGACGGTGAACTTGAACTACTGAGAGAAAAATTTTTTTTGTATTTTAGGGAAGGGTCTACAGGGTGTTCAGGGTCTCACTACTAGATCGGACTTGGTGATTCTCCTGTTTACACAGCCTCCCAAGAGCTGGGATTACAAGTGCATATCACCACACCCAGTCTCAAGCAGCATCTCAGCATACCCCAGGGATGAGCCTGCACAGCAGGCCAGGGAACCCCAGCCCCAACACCTGAGTTTAAATAGCTGAGCTAGCTATTTGAAGGTTTTTTTTGGGGGGAGGGGGGACGGAGCTGGCTCAGTCTGCCTCAAGGGCAGGCCTGGTAAAGGACATGGAACTGGATCAAATCACAGTCCCTGGAGCCTGATTGGGTTTGCTGGAGCAAGCGCTTAAACAACTGAGCTAACCTGCAAGCCCTAGCACTTATTACTTACAATGTTTTTTCTCAAAGGAAGAAATTCATAATCACTATAAACAAAATATTATTGCAATATTGCTAACTGTGGCACTGTACAACATCCAGTTTTAAAGAAACACTCACAAAGTAAATAATAAAGAATGAAAAAATAATTTCTCCCTCTGGTGACTCAATGACCTGTGACAATGACACAGCTCAGTAGTCTGTTCCTGGGCTGTGGACCCCACTGCAGAGGCACAGCTTGACCCACCCGGGTAGGCAAGGTGGCTCTCAGATAGGCAATGACACAGGTTCTAGGCCTTGCCCCTACTTCAGCTGTGCTTTTCTCTGCTTAAGTCTGAAAAACACCTATTTCACTATTCTGCTGAAAAAAACCCAAATACCACCTTGACTCATATTGGGAGGCCTGGGAGGTTTATTTTCAGATGGTGTCCTTCCAAGTTTTGAATCCATTTATGCTTAACCTCTTAGGGAAGATCCCACAAGATTTGGATTAACTCACTAAAATTAGTTCACTTAGTTCTAAAGTTTTGCAGTGGCTTAGAAGTTGGGGAGCCATCCACCTTACTTACTCAATATGCATGTGTTTTACAAATATAAATTCTACTAACTTTTGGCCTTTTTGATTTTTTTAGCCTCTGGAATTTGGGTCATGGTGTTGCTCAGTGGTAGAGTACTTGCCTAACACCCTCAAGGCTTTGGGTTTGACCCCAAGCACCATAAAAAACAAACAAAACAAAAAGTGGTCTGGCAAGATAGCCCACCGGTCTAAAGCACCTGCTTAGGCAAGCTTAGAAAGGGGCAGGGGACCATGGTTCGATACCTGGCACCACATGCCATGCCAGTCCCACCCTCAGGGTGGTCTGAGCTGACCAAAAAAACAACAAAAAACAAAATAAAACAAAAAGTCCTTATAGAGGGCTCCTCACAAGGACAATCATCATCTCTCATCTTTTCCAGAGACCCAATATTCTGATGGTGGCACTATGACAATACCATCTCAAAACTCCTCTGCAAGAAATGTACCCAAGTGTCACATAAGAGTTGCTTCTCTTTGCTGCCATTAGCCCTGACTATGCAGTCCAGCTGTTTGGCTTAATTTTTTAAACATACATACAAAGTACAGGGGGGCCTGGCCCTAGCTCAGTTCTTTAAGTGGCTGCTTCCACAAAGCTGTGAGCCTCAGGTTGCTGGAGTTCGACTCCCACAACACTCCAGCCAGCCAAACCACGCCTGAGGGCATTCGGAGCAAAAAAACAAAACCATACAAAGTATAAACACAAACACACAAACAAAACACATAAACATATGTTATATCATGTTAATACCGCAGTGTAAGTAGGTTAGAGCAGTTAAGAGAAAATACTGCCCCAAATTTTATTTTAGGTAAAAAAAGAAGTGAAATTACACTAGCATGCCATGCAGAGAGCTGCAAAATCATTTATAACTACTGTCCTAGTAAATCAACATCCCAGCTTAAAAAAGGTCCTCACGGGCTGTGGAGATGACTTAGTGGAATAAGCGCTTCCCCGGGAAGCGCAAGGGCCTGAGTTCAGTCCCCGGTTCCGCCAAAAAAAAAGAAAGGTCTTCACCACATGCATGTAAAGAGCTCTCGACATAAAATGAGTTGTCTCCAATCAGATGTCAGTAGCTCAAGGACAGGATGCAATCTTATTTTTTAAACTGGCTCTGCTGAGTCACACAGCCATATTAAACAGTTTTCAAACGTATAAAGCACCCAGACTAAAACTCAAAACCAGTAAGAACGTCTGTTACTTTCCAGAATATTACTGCTATTACCTCATAGACTTACAATAATCCTAAATGGTCTCATGACACAGAAGACCACAACACCGTGCTCCTCCAAAGAACTGATAATACAAGGAAACCATCTTTCAAAGGTGACTTTTAAACCAGCCAGGATGATGCACAGCTGCAACCTCAGCCCTCCTGGACTACACAGCTCTCAAAAAAGCAACAACCAAAACCTAACCACCGGGGCCGGTGAGATAGCCGAGCGGACTAAGAGCCTGCTTTGGCAAGCACAGGGACCAGGGTTTGATCCCTAGTCTCACATGCCACACCACTGAGCCTGTGACCAAGTGTGGGTGTGGTGGTGCATGCCTGCAATCCCAGCACTCCCAGCACTGGGGAGGATGAAAACAGAAGGATCACTAGGAGTCGGAGCTGTGTAGTGAGACCCTGTACCAAATACATAAATGAAAACAAAGAACCCTAGACTACCATCTCAGGCAATAATTCCAGGGGTATACAAACACACTTTCCAACAAGAAAGGCACACACTAGGGAGAAAGATATTTGAATTTACTATTTCAATTAATATTCTGAATAAAGTATTAGGTAATAGTTATCAATCCTCAGAGTAAAAAGGAGGGCTTTTGTGGTTTTCACTATTTCAGTTCAGGATCTTAGCAACTCAATTTGCAGAACATTCCTGATCAAGAAGTCTGGGTGACAAAGGTAACAGTCTCTTCTTTGTAGCAAATTTCAGAGCCCTAAGAATAGTAATGAACACTGGGAACCTTGCGGAGCAGTGGAGCGTGCATATTCCCCAGGCTGGGGACTCTAGTGGTCTCTCAGGGACCTTGGATTCCATGGATACATTGAATACTGTAAGACTGTTTCACTACAAAAATAAAGACAATGCCCAGTTTTTGTAAAAAGCTGACATGAATAATTTGTTTCCTTTATCAGCTCTTATTTTTAAAATTTTTTTTTCTTTCTGTGCTGGGGGTTGAGCCCAGGGCCTACACACTAAGCTATATCTCTCACCTTTTTTTTTTTTTTTTTTTTTTTTTTTGGAGGCATGGTCATGTTTAATTGCTAGGTTGCCCAGGCTTGTGATCCTCCTGCCTTGGCCTCCCAGTGTTGGGGTTACATGCCTGTGCCACCACACCCTGCTTGTAAACTTTTTTTTTTTTTTTTTGGTGGAACTGGGGAATTGAACTCAGGCCCCTGTGCTTGCCAGGGAAGCACTTTTTCCACTGAGCCATCTCTCTAGCCCTATAAACTCTTCTTGACCAAAATCAGAACTCAAATCCTAAACAGAAAACTACTCCCCTCCCTGCCCAACAAGAAACTCCTGTACAACAGGATGAGGAGTATGTGTAAAGTGTGGTATTTCCACTAAATAAAGTGCCCACCTCAAGCTATTCTGCTTAGGAAGTGCAGCCTCCTCAAGCTCATCTACAGCTTGGAAATGCCATCTGGAAAGCCTTACTTTACCAGTCAAGCCCCACATGAGAGGCTGTATCAGGACATTTTCTGTGCTACCAAGGAGTCCTCTGCACCAATCCCTATATCCTATTTATTCCCCTGCAACTCATGCCTCTCAATTACTTTAAAAATGCCCACGAGGCAGGTGTGGTGGCACACACCTGTGATCCCAGCACTTGGGAGGCTGAGGCGGGAAGAACACGAGTTCAAAGCCAGCCTGGGCTACATAGTAGGATCCTGTCTCAAAAACAAACAAAAAGTCAACTCAAATTTGTTCTAATAGTGTTTGTAAATAGGATATCGTGTCCGCATCTTGTACAGCAATTAACCACTAGGAAGAATGTATGCAATGTGTTAATTATTGAAACTGTCCTACCAATTTGGTTTGAAACTGTCTCATTACTATTTGTTTCTTGATAAAATTATGGGGGGAATAAAAAAGGTCAACTCAAAAGCTGAGCCTTAGAAACTAAATCTCGCCCCTGGGTGCTGTGAAAGCAGGCTTTCTGGCTGCAGCAGCTGTTACCTAAGAACACCTACCCGCGCGGTCCTGTCGTCATACTCGTCATCCGACATCAGGAAGTTGCAGAGCCCGCGAGTGGGGATGCTGGTGTTCTCCGTAATCCAGGTGTGCAGGTACACCTCACCCAGGACGCGCTTCATGTGTTCCCTCGTCAGGTGCATCTCCACGGCCTCGATCTTCCCTTGGATCTCCAGGAGCTTCTCCTCCATTGGCTCCTGGCTCCCTGAGTCTCCTGCGGGGGGCAGGGAGTCATCCGCTGGCTCCTCCGCCTCGCCTTCCTTGCCCCTCTCTTGCTTGCTCACCTGTTTGGAGGAAGCGCCCTCCTCCTGCTGCTCATCCTCAGCATTGCCCGTCCCAGGAGAGTCAACCAGCAGGATTTTTGAGTCCTCATGGGAGGGTTTCCACAAAACTTCTGAAGGGGATTTTTGCATTGACTGGTACAAAATCCTCAGGAGGAAAAGTTTGAAGCGCCAAAAATAGGTGACCCCGCTGCTTTCAATCTTCTTTTCCAGAGCTTCATGTAAAAACTGAGGAATGTGTTTATCTTTTAAAATCTTCCAGCGTACCAGGTCTATTAAATCGACCTGCTTAAAGAGATTTTGAACAGAAGATTCCAAGAGCTGAGCAGCTGCTTCTTCAAAGGTTTTGAGAGTGACAAACTGGACCTGGTAGTTTTTGTTCACAGGGTGGAGGCCGTTTACCATGCCCTCTGTAGTGATGATGGCCAGGTACGCACCACAGGGGCTCACTGCGATCCCGTGAGTCCTCACCGAGCCAAATACATCTGAGAGCTTAATCAGCTGGTGCTCAAACTTTAATGCCACGTCTGTGAAGATGGGAATCAGCTGCCTCACCTTCCCATCGCTGGAACAAGTATACACTGTCCCATTCTGTTTGTCTGCAGTCATGGAGACAATGGGCAGCGAGTGAAGGCCTGTGACATGGGAATTATGAACATTCAGGCCTGCCCTGGAGCTGAGCAAAAGACACCAGAACACGTAGGAGCCCCTGGCAGCCACCACTAAGCTGCAGCTGCACTTCTGGTAAGGGTGGTAAAGCGACACACATTTGATGCTGTGCACAGGCAACTGGTCCATCTCCTTCCACAAGACAACAGGCTCCCGCAGTGTGTAGTAGCCTTTGACAGCCTTGAGGTTGACGGGCAGGATCTTCACAGGCCCAAAAGCACTCCCAACAATGAGGCCGCTCATTTTCCGGTTGCTGTGCTCATATTCCCACCAAAACAGGACACTAGGCGAGCTGATCCCTGATTCGATTGTGTTGCATGAAGAGATGGACTCCCTCCCTACAAATGGCAGCTGAAACTGCCACACGGCAATATTCCCATTTTCAAAGAGGACAGCCAAGAGCACACTGCCCACGTCCCGGCATTCATTGTTGTGCTTAACCTGCTGAGTGGTACAGATGCTCGACCACTCCATCCTGACTGGGGTCTGCATGCTGTGTCTCCTCTGAAACTCAGCAAAATCCCCGAGGTTCCCCCCTGGAGCCTCATTTTTAGAAAGCCTGAAACTAGTTTCATATAGGTGCTCGCCATAAATCTCAGTCAGATCTGCCAACTGGACCCACTGGAGTCTGTTAAGGTTCACCTGCACAGTCAGGCGATTGTCCATGGTCAGGGCAGCCAAGAGGCACCTGCCATTCGCATCGCAACCCATTGGAGACCAGCTGGTGTACTTGAAGCCTCGCATTGAGGGCAGGGCCTTTCCCTCAGGGTTGAACATCCTGTCCAGCATGAAAGTCTGGCTGACAGTAGGGTCTTTAGAGGCGGCGAATTTCTCCTTGCACTCTGCAACTTCGGTTTTTGAGCCAACCTGGAAATGACACAAAAAGGATAAGATAGTGGCCGGGGAGATGGCTCAGTAGAATAAGCACTTCCCTGGCAAGCATAAGGGCCTGAGTTCAATCCTCAGTTCCACCCAAAAAAAGAGAGATAAGATACATATCCACCTGCATTAACCAATTCATATATAATAATTTTATATCACTCATTAATTTTTATTGTGGCATACATTTAAAACACTGACTGCAAGTCTAAAGACTAAGCGAATATTTATACAAGATAACAGCAGTTTCTTAAAGGATTAGAATAAATGTTGTCAGTATCCATCTCTTGGCTCCCGCCTTTAATTAGACCTGACATACCCAACAGAGATGTAGCTGACTCTTTAAGAGTGAGCTAGGAGCTGGCAAGACAGCTAATCAGTCTAAAGCACCTGCTTAGGCAGATGTACAGACCGCAGTTCAATCCCCTGGTACCACATGCCACGCCAGCCTGGCCCCAGAGTAGTGGCTTACACCTGTAATATCAGCACTGGGGAGGCTGAAAATAGGAGGATCACTGTGAGTCCGAGCTGCATAGCGAGACCCTATATCAAATACATTAAAAATAAATAAAGAGTAAGCTAGTCATGACGTAACGGCATTAAAAACTTAGGAAAATGTGTACCTGTATTCATCTTTAATACAACAAGATTTTTACAATACCTTTGCAATACAAATGTTAGCCTTAGGTTTTTTATTGTGCGATCTCATTACAAACGACACAGATCCAGCACCATTTTGTCTACTGCTACTTTCAGGCAGCCATGCCCAATGCACAGCTGCAGGCCACATGTAGCCCTGGGCAGCTGGGCAGCTGGCCCTCTGGGCTGTACACCTTTAACATTATGATGTGATTCTTGGAGTGGGGGGATGATATTTTTCACAAGTCAACTGCACAGTGCTCAAACATGGTCTATGGGTAAAAATGAAATGCTGTATAAAAGAAGGGGTGGTACAGTATTAACTGCTGCTTCCTTTGTCTGCCACACAGCTAGTGGAATAGTAACCCACATGTGCAGATTTAAATGTGCTTATGCAAGCCAGTGAATAGAACAGTGATTACTGATACTATCATTTCAACGTACATAAATATGGGCCTGTAAAGACTATAGAGACCTACATACTTTGGTTAATTATTAAATTTGGCTGATTGGGCTGGTGAGATGGCTCAGTGGTCTAAAGCACCTACTTAGAACAAGCTTAGCAAAGTACAGGGACCGCGGAGGCGGTTCAATCCCCAGCACCACATGCCAGCCAGCCCTGCCCCCTGGTGGGCTGAGCTGGCCACACACACACACACACACACACACACTTCTTTAAAAAAAATTTAAAAAATAAATTTGGCTGATTGTATTACTTCATGAAACAATCTTATGCAGTCCAAAACAATTCTCCCTTCTACAGTGTGGCAAGCCAAAGACTGGACACTGCAGCAGAGCAAGACAGTGCCAATCCGACAGCTCAATTTCCAGTTTCTAACATTCCCACCCTTGCTTCTCCTGGTCCTTTGGTTGTTTAAATCTCATCTGCCCTATTGATTCCTGGGCCTTCATACCAGACCCCGCCCCCAGGGTACACTGAGCTGGCAATGGAGACTGGGCAAGCTGACAAGTGCTTGTAATCCCAGCTCGTGGGAGGCTGTAAATAGGTGGTGGATCACTAAGTCTGATCTAGTAGTGAGAACGCCCTGAACACCCCATAGACCCTTCCTTAAAATTTAAAAAAAAAAATCACATCCACCCTAGCAGACCTAATCCTCTCTACAAAGCCCTGAGGTCATTCTAACTTGCAATCATCTCCCTCCTCCAGGTCCATCACAAATCACTGCACCTGGCTGTGTGAGAGTGAGTCCTTTAAAAAGATTTTAATTGGCTGGTGAGATGGCTCAGTGGTCTAAAGCACCTATTTAGAACAAGCTTAGCAAAGCACAGGGACTGCGGTTCAAAGCACAGGGACTGCGGTTCAAACCCCAGTACCACATGCCAGCCAGCCCCGCCCCCTGGTGGGCTGAGCTGGCCACACACACACACACACACACACACACACATAAAATTTTTTAAAAAAAGATTTTAAGATATGGAAGGAGAGGGAGACACAGTGACTTAAAAAAAAAAAAAAAAGATGCACAGCCATAGAAAAATAGCTGGGAAAGTTAAAAGCGCAGAGGGCAACTAAATGATGATTTGTTATGTGGTAGCAAGAGGACTTGTTCCTGCTTGATCTGCTGTCATTAATGTTTAAAACAAAGGGGAAAAAAAGCAAAATCTTCCATTTTTAGCATCAATCTCCTTTTTAATAGTTTATTTTCAAATTGGAAAGCATATAGTACAATTAAAGTGCAATTGAAGCATAAGGCATGCATGCTCATACAAGGATTTAAAAAAAACAAAACAAAACAACGTTCTTTTAAACAAGTTTAAACTCAGTGCATTACATTCCAGGACACAGAACCTGGAAAAATGTTAACTCAAAACCACTAACTACATTTAAAGAAAGCTTAGACAGGGGCCAGTAAGATAGCTCAGCAGACTGAAGTGCCTACTTAGGCAAGCTTAGGCAAGCACAGGGACCCGCTGTTTGATCCCCAGCACCACATGCCACACCAGCCCTGTCCCCAGGGCGGGCTGAGTTGGCCACAGAGTCTGAGACCCTGTAAACGGTGAGACCCTGTAACAACCAAATACATTAAAAGCAAGCAAGCAAGCTTAAGCAACTAGAGATAAGTCAGAAAGCCAGAGTGGAAAAAATACTTTATCAGCTTGTGAGGCCTTGCCCTCACCCCAGAAAAAAGGCCTAGGATGCAGCTCCATGCAAAGGCTCTGTCTCCATCCCTAGCACTGTAAAAGCAGAACACAGATTCTTCAGCCTAAATAGCAATAAAATTCAACAGAGTAACACATGAACTATGCATGAGGCAACAGTGATCATGAGGAATTAGCCAAGGATAACTGGACTAACCTCTGCTAACCCTGTCTGGTATCATAACAGGCATATAAAATGAAATGTGGATACAAAGTTAATCTCCAAGTTATTCAGTCAGTTAAATTCTCCTAAAATAACTCACAAAACACTACTCTCCTAAATTAATACTTTAAGTTTAGGAAATGACATTATACTTTGTTCTTCCTAGAAAAGTCACAGAAACACACAAAATGCCTTGGCTGGGGATTTCTGTAAGGACTTTTAGAATATCAGTTGGTTTTTGCTGTTGTTTTGATTTTTTTCTTTTGTGGTACTGAAGATCAAACTCTGGCCCTTGCATTTGCCAGTCAGGCACTTACGCCACTGAGGTATATTCAAAATCCCTGTGAACACTTTTAATATCAGAGTTGGCAAAAAAAAAAACCTGTTAAGTGCAACTTTTTGGGAAATTGTTGCCCTTGATGATTTTAAAGAATATTCTTAAAAAAAAAAAAAAATTACAAAGGGCTGGGGAGATGGCTCAGTGGAATAAGCGCTTGCCTGCCAAGCACAAGGGCTGAGTTCAATCCCCAGTTCCGCAAAAAAAAAAAAAAAAAGAAAAGAATATTCTAGAAGTGGTGTTTTAGACAGCTTATCTTGATTTCTGAAAAGGCATTTAAGGGAGTCTCATGGCTACAGTATAGACCTACTTGAACACAGACTGGAAGTTCCACCTAAACAAGGCACAGGTGACTAGCAAGGTAATAAAAAGTAAATCCTGAGCTCTGTATGGGGAGATGTAATTCAAAACAAGAAATAACGAAGCGTCATAACTGAAAATCTGTATTATGATGCCAGTTTACCTGGGTTCAAATGACTATTACATACTCGCTCCATGACTTGTGTGCAAACTACTTACACTTTCTGGCCTCATTTATATCAGAGAATGGCAATACATGTCTCGCTGAATTAAGAAGGTCAAGTAAGTCAGAATATGCAAAGTGCTCAATGTAATATAATATTCTGAGGATTAAGTAATCATTAGTAACACCTAATACATGTACCTAAAATGCCGACTAGATATAAAGTGGTATATCAATTGAAGGGTAAATAAAAATTGTTCAGTGGGGGGCCAGTGAGATGGCTCGACAGTCTTAAAACACCTACTTAGGCAAGCTTAGATAGGTGCAGGGGACCATGGTTCAATCCCCAGCACCACATACCCACCAGCCCTGCCATCAGAGCAGGCTGGGGGGGGGGGGGTGATCACCAAATCCTAAAGTCCTGTAAATATGCAATAATCTTTAGACTAGATGAAAATTATTACAAATAAAAGCTATTATAGAGACAAAAGTAAACTTACTTTTGTAACCCAAAGCAGCAACAGAGGATAAAATAAAAGCTCTGGCAACTCTCAATCCCATTCACTGCAGGAAGAATTTGTGACAAGATGGAGAATAGCAGATTGTGACCAGAAGGGAACCTGTTAATTTTATGCAGTGATGTCTAACACACATTAATATGCTTGAATCATCCAGCTGCATCACCTCCAACTCTACCTATCACAAAACTAGTTAACAAATTACAACAAAAATTCAGATGCCTGAGGAGCATTACCACAGAAAGTATAGTTCCCAGAGGCCTGCCTGAAACCTATCATTTAACTGCACCATTGTGCTACCAATTAATCGCTAACTTCACTGAGTTAAGCTTCCAGCAAGAATCTGAAAAATCGAATGCCCCTTTGAAGTTTGTGGACAGTAAGCTTCCTGAGGGCAGAGCAGATGGAGATAACACTTCTGCAGGTGCCTAGCAACAATGTAAAATCCAATAAGGTACACAAACAATTTGGAATTGGATACAGCTCAGTATCCAGTATAACAAAGTCACTATGTAGTTCAGGCTGCTCTTGAATTCTCCACGTGGGCCAGGCAGGTCTCAAACTCACAGTGGTCTTCCTGCCTCAGCTTCCCAAGAGCTAGGACTGCAGGTCTGCACAACCATGCCCAGCTGTGACTTACTGTTACATAACTATTTTTACATTGATGTGCATATGAACATCAAAGGAAATAGTTCATTTTCAATAGAAGATACCCCACTTAGTGGGGGTGTGTACACCTTTTTAAAACACCCTCTTCTGCCCTACACCTTGAACATGTCTCAATTCACAGCAATGCCAGCACCTGTCTACCCGATTTCGAGCCAATTCGTTCATATCTTCTTCAGGAATAGCTGGGGTGGGTGCACGGATACAGTCCAGTGACAACCTCTGCCTGGCAGGCTTGAGGTTGTCAGTTTGATTCTCAGTAACAACAAAGTAATTAAATAATTTTTTAAAATCTTAGTCATACAAATTTCCCAATTTCTTAATCCAGCATCAAACTGTGTTTGAAACTAGAACTGCCAATATGATACAAGTGATGAGGGTGATCAGCGCCCGTGATTAGCAACTCACAATAGCTGTCCAGAGTTAAGAGCTCAGAAAAACGGTATGTGAGGGGCCAGGGAGATGGCTCAGCGGAATAAGCGCTTCCCTGGCAAGTGCAAGGGCCTGAGTTCAATCCCTGGTTCCGAAAAAAACAAAACAACAACAACAAAAAAAAAGGTATGTGAATACTTATCTTTACAGCACCTACTTATCACTGCCTCATAACTTGTTCGTGACTTATCAAAGAATATAAGCTTTTTGATCAAAGACTGTTCTGTACTTCGGTTTTATTCCCAAAAACCAAGACGAGCACCAACGCATTCACACACACTGACATATCACATACCATGCCCATAAACATCTGCAAAGGATAGGAAGTTTTCTAAAAGCAATGCTATATCTTACCACTTTTTAAAAACTGAACTTGAAAATTACATTAAACCAGCGAAACTTCACACTAAAGTTCTAAGGTTAGAAAATTTGAGCCCCGGAGGCTCAAGGTCTGAAATTCACAAAGACCTTGGACTTGGAGGCTGAAATTTACACTTGGGTCCAGAGGCTTCACCTTTCTTTTTACATCTCAAAGACGTTCAGCTGGTGAAGAAAAGCTAAAAAAACAAACCCACGAGCTATTATTTACCTCTCCCCCAAGGTGAAGCACGAGGGTCATCACAATAAAACCGCTGAAACAGGTAGAACAATAAAAGCGCTGGGTTCCTTCTCCCAAGCGAGAGAGACGCGAGGGAAGGGTACAAGGGACAAAAAGCCAGCCAAGTTAGGCCTCCGGGCGCAGGCCCACACAAAAGGAGCGACGACGCCGGCGGCAGTCCCCAGGTTGGGTCAACAGGGGGTGGAGTCTCGGACAGCACCGCGAGCGAGCGGGCCGGCCTGCACAGCTGCGAGGCTTTTTGTTTGTTTTGAAGCTGCCGCGCACGGCCTCGCCGCGCGGGGTGCTGGGGGGACCCCCACCCAGGTGCTGCCGCGCGCGGGCGAGGGGCCGCAGGAGACCCCGGGCCCGCGGCCCGCGGCGGACTTACTTTGAGGAGGCAGCTGCTGAGCGGGGCGGGCACCGAGGTGCGGTGGATGACCAGGTCCTGGCCCGGGTTGTGCACGTCGCAGATGAGCTCCAGCACGGCGATGCTGCGGGCTGTGGACACCGACACGCGGTGGTCCTCCGACCAGGCCAGCGGCTCCAGGCCGCTCACCGCGTACTGCAGCTTCACGGCCGGCTCCCGCCGGGTCACCATGAGGCGGAACGCGGCGCTGGGCCTGGGGGCCGCGGCCGCCTCCGGCTCCTTCCCGCCCCCCTCGCCCTCCTCCTCCGCGGGCGGAGCGGGCCCGTCGGCCGCAGGCCCCACCCGGGCCTTGTCCGCCGCGTGCATCTCTCCCCCGCGCAGAGCTCGGCTCCGGGGCGGGCCCGGTCCCCCCGCCGCCGCCGCCGCCCCGCCGCCGCCGCCGCTCCCGAAGCTTTTCCAGGTCAGTGCGGGTCTGTGTGGGGCCCGCTTACCACCGGATGTGGAAGTTGATCTCTTCGCTGGTAAAAAATAATTCCACTTCCCCCGGAACCCAGATCATCCCCGCGATTTCCTGTTTATTGCATTAAGGCGCCGGGTTTCCGGGGCTCCCGGACCCGCGGATTCCGCGGGGGTCGGCGGGGTCGGCCCGGCGCCCGCTTCCCCCCGCCGCCGCCGCCGCCGCCGCCCAGGGGCACCTCTCAGCGCCGCGGCCGCCACCCCCCGCGCACTCCGCCCGCGGTTTTCTCCCCTCAGGCCCGCAGCGCCGCAGAGCCAGGAAGGACCCGGCCGTCGCCAGGCGACACCGCCCTGCCAGGTGGCCACGGCACTGCCTGTCTAGAAAACGCGCCTCCGGGGCGGGCCTAACTGGGGCGCCCGGCCTCCGCGGCGGGCGGGCGAGCCTCGCGGACTCCTTCTCCCGGCGACCAACCCCAGTCGATTTCAGGGACCTTCGCCGAGCAGGAGCGGCGCGAGCTGCTGAAGTGCTGGAGAGACACGCGGCGGCAGAGCGGCAAGCGTCGCGGGGAGCGCGCGGCCTCGTCTCCTCAAGCGGGGGCGTCCCGAAAGCGCCTGTGTGCGGAGGGCGCCTGGCCGAGACTACTCCCCGCCGCCGGGGACGCGAGCGGGGCGCCCCACCGAGCCGCAGGCCGGAGCGTCCCGGGCGGCTGGCGGCCGGC